CAAAGTCGTAATCGTAAAGTCGTAGTCGCAAAGTCGTGGTCGCAAAGTCGTAGTCGTAAAGTCGTAGTCGTAAAGTCGTAGTCGTAAGAATAGTCGTCTATGATTGGTCAATTCTTATGTGTCTGACGAAATTGACCAATCGCAGTCGATTGGCCATCAGCCTTAAGCCCGTATCAGACTACAGATTGAGATTGCGATTAGATTGAAAATTGACCAATTAGAGTAAAAGTTACTAAACTTGAGACTAGTAAACTTGACTGCGATTGGTCAAATTTCAATCTAATCCCAATCTCAATTCGTAGTCTGATACGGGCTTTAAGATGATTTTGAAATAAGAATCGGCTATAAACCCCGGCCATAGACGTAATATATCTAGACCGAGCATTGAGCCACGGGGGTAGAGATTCACGTAGACACGGACAAGCTCCGTTTTCTGCTATTCCGTTCTTTCTCGCTCGCATGCGAACAAGAGTGCAGTGCCTCGGTCAAACGCGCGGTCTATATATTATACGTCTATGGTCACGACATATACGCACTTAACCCCCTGCCAACCGTTTCGTGAGTTTCGTGTCTCTCGAGCGGATTCCGGGAGAGCCGGCGCTCGCGATTGGCTTATCGCGCGAGTCACGCATTGTGTTCCCTAGAGTCGCCGCGCGGCCGAGGTTCCGGCGACTTCGGCCAATAGACGCCCCGTTTACACGGCGGCGCTGCGCGGGACGCGTTCTCCGTGCACGAGCATCGCGGATTCGCGGCATTGCAGCGCGTTAGCGTGTGTTGTGTGGGTTTGGTTATAAGTCTTGTGCGCGCCCGCGGCTCCAACGATTTTACGGTCGGTGTCCGTCGCTTCGGGTCGGCGATTGAATCGGCGAGGCAACTCGTAGCCGCGGCACCGGCGCGCCAATTCACGAGGAACCGGGGCGAGGGAAGATGTGATTAACGCCGTGGCCGCCTGCGCGTTCCTCTGAATGTTTTGTTCCCCCGCCCGCTTGCGTCGCAGACGTTGATTATAATTTTCGGCGTTGTAGCAGGAGAGAAGGTACCCGTGGCCGCGCGCGTGAGTAGAAATCCAATCGCCGAATCATGGCGAACGTGTCCCTCGACAAGGATATGTTTTTCCGGCGCATGAAGCGCCTGTACGCCGCGTGGAAGGTAAGCGTCGAGACCGCCCGTTCCCGGCGTGCCGAACTGTTGCGTCTTCTTGTACAATCTTTTGTTCTCGACAGGAGGGGGAGGTCGGTACTGACGACAGCTTCAGCAAAATGGACTGCCTCGTTTCCGCCGTTGGCACCGACGAAGATATCGTCTACAGCAAGTCCATAGCGCTGCAGGTACATGTGTTGCAAAAATAGAAATTTTTAACCGGCCGTGCCCGCCGGATCTTGCAGAAGAGCTGTGGCGTACGCTGTGTTTTCTCCAAGATCGAACGTTCATCGTCTTCTATAAGAGATGGACGCTGCTACGCAGCGTCTACAGTGAGATTTGTAGGACGTAAGAATTAAGAAAGTGAACCTATCGCACTTGAATGCAAGGAGAATGGTAGACTGCGGTTCGTCATTTTCTCAAATCCTGCGTCTTAAAGATGTCATTGTAGACGCTGCGTTAGATAACAAGATTGGGCTTTCGTGGATCAAACCACATATTCCTTTGGCGACCATTTGGAACTGTTCTTTCTGCATGGGCGTTCGCAGAATGTTCGTCGATTCTCTCGACCTTTACAGAACCTTTTGTGCCGCTGAAACACGTTATGTGCATTCTTTTCCTCGCTCAGCGTCTGAAAAGGAGTTGATAGGTGTTTTTCTTCACTTTAAACGGAAATTGATACGTCAGTAGATTTGCGAACTCTTCAGTTTTCCGACGTACGAGAAAAGTTAACTTTAAATGTGTGGCAATGAACTGAAGCAACATGTGTCTCTCTAGCTCAAACTTGTTAGAACATGTTTGTCCGGTTTGCGTCACATGGTTCGATCTGTACAGAAGCCTAGTCCTACCATTTAATAGTCACATCTCATATAATATTTTGCGTTACTATAATTATTAATGTCTTCTGTTCACTTAAAAATGATATCGTGTAACATAGATTTAATATTTCTAGAAATTAGTTTCCCATATCTACGTTACACTCGGCAAAGATACATCAATAATTCGAAATTAATTTACCAGGGAGGTTCAATGCAAGATAAACTTACTTTTATCGATTCAGAAATGCGAATGCGCTCTGTTTTAGACATGGCTGCTTAGCTACGAGCTCACGGATACTATAATGATACTGGCAGAAGAGTCCATCAATTTCTTGGCAAGCAAGAAGAAGATCGAATTTCTGAAAAAGGTGGAAAATCAGAATTCCGAAGATACGGGAGTACCGCCGGTGAAATTGTTTGTGAGAGACAGGGTGTGTATGTCGCACAGTTTACGGGAGAATATTTTCATTGTCAAACATGCGTCGGTAGGTACATTAAGGAATACTTGAATATCTCCTTGCAGAGTGACGAGGACAAGGCAAATTTTGGAAAACTCATTGAAGTGATGAAGCAGAGCAAAGGAGGGAAAATTTTGGGAGTGTTCTCGAAGGAAAATTATCCAGGCGCCTTCATGGACGCCTGGAGGGCCGCTTTAAAGAACGAATCTTTCGACACGGTAAGCGTGCAAAATGACGGAAGGTTTTACTGCATAAATGTACATACGAGTTGCAAAAGTGTGAAGTCTTCGTGTAATTGTACAGGTTGATGTGAGTGCCGCAGCTGCTTATGTCATGTCCCCAAAGGAAGACAGCGAGATTATTACTATAAAGAAAGCTTGTATGATTTCTGTGGATGTTTTCACCAAGTATCTTAAAGATCAGATAATGGAAATCATAGATTCAGACAAGGTATATTTTCTTCGATTCCACATGAGATTGTAGCTGTATTTGTAGAAGAAACCGGAATGCGGGAAAGAAAGTTACAATTACATACAAGAAAGTTACAATATACAAGTTACAATTGTATATCTCGATTGCAGAAAGTCAAACACTCGAAGCTGGCGGAAGGTGTAGATACAGCTATCACTAATAAGAAGTATGTAACTGGAGTAGATGTTACGCAGGTAGATATGTGTTACCCCGCAATTATACAAAGCGGTGGAAATTATTCGCTTAAATTCAGCGCCGTTAGCGACAAAAATACCGCTCTTCACTTTGGTGTTATTGTTTGTTCATTGGGAGCGCGTTACAAATCCTACTGTTCAAACATAGTGAGAACTTTGTTGGTTAATCCCACGAAAACGATTGAGGTATGTAGACAATGTAGAAGTGTGTGTCGTAAAAGATTTGTACTGAAATGAAGCTATAGAAATTTTCAGCGCTGTAACTTAATAATCCGTTGTTATAGGAAAACTATAATTTTTTGTTACAACTGGAAGAAGAGATCTTGAAAAAGTTAGTTGCGGGAACAAAAATAAGTGAAGTATATGAGGCTGGTATTAAATTTGTGAAAGATGAGAAATCAGAAATGTTGAATCACTTAACTAAGAATTTTGGATTTGCCATGGGCATTGAATTCAAAGAGAGTTCGTTGCTACTGGGTCCGAAAATTCACGCAACAGCCAAGAAGGGCATGGTATTTAATGTTAATGTCGGCCTGGCAAATCTTGCCAATCCAGACGCAACGGAGAAGGAGGGAAAGACATACGCCCTTTTTATAGGCGATACAGTTATAGTGAATGAAGGCCAACCCGCCACTATTTTAACGATGTCGAAGAAGAAGGTGAAAAATATAGGCATATATGTGAAAGACGAGGAGGATGAAGAGGAGGAGGGAAGCGGAAAAGAAAATGAACCAAAGCCAGAGATCTTGGGACGTGGTAAGAGAACGGCTGTAATAGAATCTAAATTGCGAACGGAACATAGCTCGGAAGAGAAGAGAAAGCAGCATCAAAAAGAACTGGCTCAACAATTGAATGAAATTGCTAAGGCTCGATTGGCTCAGCAGTCTGGCGGTAAGGAGCAGGAGAAGATACGTAAATCAACAGTATCTTACAAAAGCCTTAGTCATATGCCACGTGAACCGGAAGTCAAGGAATTGAAGTTGTATGTGGATAAGAAATATGAAACTGTGATTTTACCTATCGCTGGTATCCCAGTACCTTTCCACATATCAACAATCAAGAATATTTCACAGTCAGTAGAAGGAGATTATACGTATCTTAGAATAAACTTCTTTCATCCTGGTGCAACCATGGGACGAAACGAAGGTGGATCTTACCCTCAGCCTGACGCAACATTTGTCAAGGAGGTAACATATCGAAGCACAAATACCAAAGAGCCTGGCGAGATCTCCGCACCGTCGTCGAACTTGAATACAGCCTTTAGGCTGATTAAAGAGGTCCAGAAAAAGTTCAAAAATCGGGAGGCGGAGGAAAGAGAAAAGGAGGATCTTGTGAAGCAAGACACCTTAATATTGTCGCAGAACAAGGGCAATCCGAAGTTGAAAGACTTGTACATCCGGCCGAATATCGTTTCGAAAAGAATGACCGGTGGTCTAGAAGCGCACACAAACGGATTCCGCTATACTTCGGTCCGCGGCGACAAAGTGGACATTCTTTATAATAACATTAAGAACGCTTTCTTCCAGCCGTGCGACGGTGAAATGATCATACTGCTTCATTTCCATTTAAAAGTATGTATTGTTAGCTTCAGCAAATATTTTTTAGATACCATGTTATAAATGATATCAATTTCAAGTAAATATGAATTGTACATTGATATCATCAGTATGTGCGTACCTATAAATATTTGTGTGTTTGCAGCATGCTATTATGTTTGGTAAAAAGAAACATGTGGACGTACAGTTCTATACCGAAGTTGGAGAGATTACTACAGATTTAGGCAAGCATCAACACATGCATGATCGCGACGATCTCGCGGCTGAACAGTCTGAACGAGAACTGAGACATAAATTAAAAACCGCTTTTAGAAGCTTTTGTGAAAAGGTGTGTAAATTGCAAAAAGACGTTTATAAATTTGTCTTTTTAATTAATTTATCACTTATTGGCTTCACATTTATTTTCATCGCGCAATGATATCTGTATTGTAAAGGTTGAAGGAATGACAAAACAAGAGATAGAATTTGACACACCATTTCGGGACTTGGGATTTCCTGGTGCACCATACAGGAGCACTGTCCTGCTTCAACCAACAAGTGGATGTTTGGTTAATCTCACAGAATGGGTAATACATCTTGAGGAGATAAAATTAATATCTCAAAGCAAAGAGAATATTGCATTAACGTCATGTTCAATTTTAGCCTCCATTTGTCATTACTTTGGAAGATGTTGAATTGGTTCATTTTGAGAGAGTACAATTCCACCTAAAGAACTTCGATATGATTTTCGTTTTCAAAGATTATCATAGAAAGGTAGCGATGGTAAATGCCATTCCTATGAACATGTTGGATCATGTGAAGGAATGGTTAAAGTAAGTGACATTGTTATTTAATATACAAAGTTGGCAGTCACCATATTAAACCATTTAATTACCATAATTATTTTTTGTTGTTCAGTTCGTGTGACATTCGATATTCGGAAGGTGTCCAGTCTTTGAATTGGACAAAGATTATGAAGACCATAACTGATGATCCTGAAGGATTCTTTGAAAGTGGAGGATGGACGTTCTTGGATCCAGAAAGTGATGCTGAAAATGAAGAAGTTGAAGATGAAGAAGAGGAAGAAGATGATGCATATGAGGTTCGAGATTTAGACAAATTAAGATTTTCCAAAAACGTACGACCGATGAACGTATTTTACGTGTGTTTAATTTATTTACAGCCATCTGATATGGAGAGCGAGGAAGAATCTGATGACGAATCTGAATATTCCGAAGCTTCTGAAGATAGTGATAGTGAAGGTGCTTTATTATTATTAACTTCATCCATGCTTGGCTTTGGATGGAACTTCCGTATAAATATATCTTTTCAATATTCTCATTACATACGCAAAACACCAATGCAATTCTTTGTTCCTTCTACATTTTCGAATTGTTTTACTCCTATTCTGTTCTAGAGTGTCCTCTACCAGTTTGCTTCTTGATGCTTTCTTATTAGCTCAATGATAACCGTGTCTTCACAGCACTCTTTCGTTTGCCACCTCAATTCTTCTCTACTGTCCCTTCGGTCCTGTTCTCTATCTCTTGATCTCTTCTTACACCGCCTCTCTTTTTCTTCACCTTTCTTCTTTTTCTTTGTTTTCCGCCTCCTCTTCTCTGGCTACTATTTACTCTTCCTTTTCTCTAAATTTAACCCTCACTTTACGTTAACGTCCACTCGCTATCATTACACCCGAGTGGAAGTTGTACTTTGCCTGTAATTATTGTGTATTATATTTGGTTTCTTAATTTTTTTTTATTTCAATGTTATATTATATATTTTTTACATTTGTTCTAGAAGAAGAGCTAGGTAGCTCTGAGGAATCAGGAAAAGATTGGTCGGATTTGGAAAGAGAAGCGGCTGAGGAAGACAAAGAAAGGGGAGATGATCGTTATCGTGACGATTATAGTTCCAGTAAAAAGAAGAAAGCTAACCGAAGACAATCGTCTCCTTCAAAAGACAGGTACGCGTGGATATATCTGACATTTGAACGTTATTGTTGAATATTGAGATTTTTAATATCTGTTCTTTTCTTTGTTTCATGTAAGACATAATTCTAAGCACAAGAGTTCCACAAACTCAAAGAATAAAAGTCCATCCAAGGATAAACGTTCATCGGACAAACATAGGTAAATATGATCCCTCGTATTTCACAAATAGATATTTTCACGTAAAGTAAGTTTGTTAAATTGTCGTAAAATTATATCGAGTTTTATACCTGATAATTAAAGAACGGATCGATCACGGAGTGGGGGCTCACACAAGAAGGGGTCTCCTTCCAAATCATCCAAACACAGGTGATTACCGATAAGTTTTATATTATTGATGTTGCTGTAATGTTGAATTTTTGTTTGTTTAGTCCCAAAAAGAGCGATAGACATGATAAACATGTTAAGAGTACATCACATTCTTCGTCCAGCAGTAAGAAGCGTGCTCGTGAACAGAGCTCGGAAAGAAGTGACAGAGGATCTAAGAGATCTAAGTAAGCAATAGCTAGTAAATAGTAATATATAATAAATAGTATTCATAATTATTTTAAATGCTTAATTACATGTTTAATTATTACAGGAAGTAAATAAAAAGCATCTGCACACTGAGAAAACGACACACGAAATTACAGTGAATATCACGCTGATTCCAAGTACATAAAGCTTTCTTAAAACATAGCAATTTGTAAGAATAGTACATTTTCTTGCATTAAGTGAACAGAGCAGAAACGAATCAATTAGTGTTATGTTGAATAATTGTTTTTTGCCGTTCGAGTATTTAGTTTGTTGTAGTATATAACTCCACTTAAAACAATGTATTGACATCCTCATATTTCTATTTAAAATTTCACTGTACATAATAAACTTTTGTACTGAAATCAAAATATGTAGGGATGTGTGCGTATTGTATTTAAATTTTGTTATATTTCTTCAACAAAGTATCGGGAAGGATATACGATTTTACCTTTTGTCTTTTTGTTTTGCTTCTTTAATATTTAATATAGTTTCTAAGATTAAGTACATCTCATTCCATTTCCTATTTGATAAGAGGACTTTCACTATAAATGTATACGTCTCGCCTAAGTTTTCTATGACGCAAGGTATAAAGACAAATGAATTAATGAGATAAATTTGGAGTATCTTTGTAAAGATGCATTGATTTAGAAAAAGCTGTCTCGTGACTCGCCGTGATATTTCAGAATGTATGGGAGATACTCAAATTTAGGTCTGTACTGGTAAGAAATATAATATTGAACAGCATTAATATATAAGCATTTCTCATTGAGCTTAATTATTATGGGCAGTAAAGAAAATAACAATAGAAATGCAAGACAATGTACTACTACTAATAAATGCGATTCATCATGTTACATGGGTCCTGATAGTCTTTCTTGATACTTACTAAAAATGCAAAATTTCTTAAAAAATTTTTTACGATTGGATTAAGTACTATAATATTTAATATTATTTGAGAAAATTACGTCTTATTATACATAATGACTTTATATATGCTTTGGGTATCCAGAGCGGTGAATATACGCTTACAATTCCCCCTCCTCGAGCCAATGCATATATTATGTGTGTACGCTGAGAAACGAAAGTATCATTGATTCGAGAGACGAAGAAAGCTGAAATGAATCAGAAATTATTCAAAACTCATTTACATAGTTCTCAGATTTGTACTATAACACAATAAACCCGTTTTAAGTTATTTAACATTAATGTACAAATGTCATTTGTGGTTTTTGTATTCCAAAATGTACGTAATGTTGATATATGAAAATGATTGTTTTTATTAAAACGCCCCACTTACTCGTGAACAAAATTCACCATTATTATACAATAGCATTGCAGATTTCTAGAAAAACATATGATCTGAGTACAATGTATGTGCGAGAGATTACAGGAAACAAAAAACACTGTGGTAACTATTTTCTATTAAACTTTTGTAACAGATAGCATAAGATGATCGAACTGTACATTATTATATAACGATTTTTCTGGTAGATTTACATACACACGGCTGTATATATGAAAGAAAGTGAAAGTTTCACAAAAAGTATGAATCGAGACCTTCCGTTCTCAATATAGATGTATTATAATAATGAGACAATAAAATTAGCAGAGCAGAAAGCGGAAGATATGATCTCATAACCCCGTCGTGTTTTGATTATGCTGAAATTTCCGATTTAGCTGTGTCGTGTAATAAATGGCAAGACAGTAAAGCCACGCTCAGCAAGACGGTGAATAGAAGTGAAAGTACGCTTCTTCGATGAGTAGCTCTGCAACTTTCTCTATGATATATCGCTAGCATACATAATTTAAACTTGTAAGACAAGAATACCTGATTAATTTTGCGATTGGCAAACTGCGCGTTTTAAGGGAATCCCTATTTCAATTCTAAGATAGTTTGTGACACTATCGGCAGACCAATGAAATTACGAGAGACAAGCCTGAAGTGCTTCGTTGTAAAGTACATAACGATTTTATGCTTCTTCGCATACGCAATATCGATGTCACCGATAAGTTCTCTATTTGCGAACGGGTGTGAAACGTAATCGCAAGCAGAAGATGACGCAGACACATGTAAACTATTTTCCCATGCATTTATTTATGAAAAGTAAAAACTCTTGCTACATCATAAAACGAATTTTGTCAGATATAAAAGCGAGATACAAAGGAAACAGCTGTTTATAAATACCTTTCTACAAAGGCACTTAGATTATTTTTATATGCTGATGATGGGGTGATGGTGATGATGACGATGTAACAGAAATTAATTTCGACCTATTTGATCGATCTGAGTCTGAAGATTGTTCACCACTTCGGGTGGCACGTGTTCGCCCAAGATCTCGAAGAGATTGATCCTCTGGTCTCCGGGGATCGATTCGTAAGCGGCCAGCTCGATGCCCTCTTGGACCTTTTGTATGGTCGCATCCTTGGGGATAAGATATGTGTTCTGAGCCTGCCGTATTGCCTCATTGCTGAAGATTTGCCCGTCTTTCTGCGGATACGCCGCAATCACGCCCACCAGAAGTAGCGTGACCAGGATTACAGTGTAAAATCTCATCTTTGCAAATAAGAAAGAAGATTATTAGATTCTCGGCTCGGAAATATAAAGTTCGAAAGCTTCGAAATGTACGCGGGTGATTGGGAGCCGAGGACTACAAATTGACCGTGGATATTTTACATGCATATATAATCTCTCGCAGAGTGTTTCACAACTTTATGCATAATTCATCAGCGTCGCGTCACACTCGGAGCGAAAATTATGAAGCAATTTAAATGTTACGTCAACGCAAGATTGTAAATCATGTTATCGTGTAAATTGCAGAGGAACGAGATGCCAGTGTGGTTGGCGAGAGTTTTGTGTGCATCGAAAGCGATGTCCGAAGAGCCATTGGTTCGATCTCTCCTTAATGGCCGAGGTCGCGAAATTGGAGCAACGGAGTTTACGGAGAATTTCGTCGCGTCGTATCGCAAGATAAAAATTTGCGCCACGATAATAACGACGGATATTCCGCGAAGATGTAATTTTCATTGAAATTCATATACGCGATATCGAAGTTAATATTCCGACTGATAATTTGGAGTTTAGAAAAATGGGAATTTAATATTGGCGAAACGAGAGAAATGTGACGTTAAAACTTTGTACGCTTATTGTCCTTTTCCTTTCCGAAACGTATGTGTTAATAAACTTGTTTGCGTTTTAAGTTAAGAAAATTAAAGAAAAGGGCCCCTAAATAGACTGTAATTGAGTAGCAACAAAATGCACAATATTTGATCGAAAATGAAGCTCGCTTTTTTTCTGAAGAACGTGGATTCTGTATTTTGTAGATGTTGCGGTACTCACGTTGAAATTTCGCGTTTTCACAATCGGCCACTCCGAAACGAAACTAAGCGCGCTGCAACGCAGGTCGCTTTTATATCGCAGATGCGTGGTGGCAGAAGAGCGGTGAATGCCACTCCCATCCTCCTCAAGGAAGACTTTACCGTCCAAGTGCGCTTAAAACTATACGAATATTTGTTACATGTTACGTATTTCGAGGAATGGAAAAAAGTCTTAAAAGTCGAACAACTTACCAAGAAATGCGTAACAAAGGAGAAAGAGATAAAAGGAACGAAGAAACAAAAAGAAAACGAAGTCGCAGAATATGTAAATATTATTTTCTCTTACATTTTCGCTTATGTCATACGCGGATATCAGATAAAGGCGTTAGTAAAAGTATTCTTACGTTTAACATTTTGCTTGTAATTTAATGTATCTTTTTGCGAGCATTATTTATAGTAATTTTTAGATGTCGCAACGAAAAATCTCCAGTGTTTTGTGCAAATAAAACTGGAGTAAATACCGAAAAATCGACGACGCAAATCTTCGAGCCATTTCACTCGGTACGTTCTCGAGGAACGTCGTGCGACCTGCTATGAATATCGGTGCCCCATTGACCAATATACAACACAGGCAAGATTTGCTGTTACCCGCATCGGCCGAAGAGTTTCACTTTTACGAATATATTTCTTTCTTGAATTTTGAAATTATTTCGCAACACCGTCGACTATTTCTAATACTGGACGAGCAACATTTGTGTCTGTAGGTATCAACTTTCGATTAGAAGACACAAAGAAAATGAGTTCAACTACGTAAACAATATAAACTGGAAATTAATATCGTGAAAAATATTCTTCATATAATTTGTTATGTTTCTAATATCGCGTTACGTGTAGATGATTCATTTCAAAATGAAAGAATCGTAAAGCTTCGCTGCGAGTTACGAAATGAAATGAAGTTTATCGGGTTTCTATTGCCTTTAAGATATCTGCGTTTAACAATAATCTCCCTGCAGGTTCGTCGCAAATCTTTCCATCTTTGAAAACATATCGTCCCCTAAGGACAGTCGCGATCACTCTTCCAAACAGGTTCCTTCCTTGATACGGTGTCAGCTGTAAAGGTAAATTATTTCTGTCGAATCACTTGGTGAGAATTTTCATAATTTTTATATTTTTAATCGGCAATTCACGCATTTCATATTTACTTTGTTCTTGTAGTGAATGTCATCTGCCTCAACCTGCGAAAATACGATACAATTTTCTGATGATGTGGAGTGCTCGCTACTTTTCGACGTTAATACAACGTACAGCAGAAACTGACCGTAAGAGATTCCTCTGGATCCCAAATAACGAAATCCGCGTCCATTCCAACTGACAGATTACCTTTACGGTCTTCAAGGCCGCACAGTCTTGCGGGCTGGCTGCTCAATAGCTTCGAGATTTCGGACAACGGTGTACCTCTCGTTCTCGCGGCTGTCCATATCAGTGGCAATCCTATTTGTATTTTTGAAAAAACTCTTATCTACTTCTTTCTCTCATACAGCATTCGCATGCTATCTACGCGGAAAAAAATGATGTATCAATAAGAACAGTGTAATTGAAATGAAATCATTGAAACATCAGTTGTCTTAACAATCTGGATATTTAGTTCAATGCTTAAAATTAAAATCCATAGCAAACACAATTGAGTGAATTATTTACGTTTGTGGCCCGTGACGTTTAGTTCAAGCAACTTCATTTTGTTCCGCGTATCCTCTAATGTAAATTTCATACAAATATATACATACCGAATTGCAATGAGGAGATTCCACCCCAAGCGGTCAGAAAATTTCCGCGAGTTTTCAATTCCGGCACGCAAGGAGAGTGATCCGAAACAATCATGTCTAACGTTCCGTTTTTAACACCGTGCCACAATTGTTCCTGCGAATACACTTATAAGATTGAAAATCGATTTACCACGAATAAGTTCGTGTCTCATGATATTAAATGCCGAAGCTGATTGAAAACTTAAGAAATGTTTGATTAAAACAATACCCCCCCTGTGCACATTATATCGATAGATATGTAGCGAATCTTTTCAAATGCTATTTCGGAATATCTGATTACCGAAGAAAACACATGTGAAACCGTTAGATAAAAAGAACTGACATGCAGGCAATAAAAGATTTATCTAATTACTCGATTACTCTTCCTCCTGATCGGCGGGCAGCACTTGAATTCAGTGGAACCTGCCGGTATCTCTTCCGCGGTCAGTATCAGATAGTGATAGCACGTTTCCACGGTTAAAGGTGCACCACGAGCCTTGGCATCATTTATTAATGTCAAACACTCCGCGCTTGACAAATGCACTATGTGGCATCGAAATCTCCAAAGTTTTATGTAACATTAATTTTATGCTAAACGAACGCCAAGTCTCTCTCTCTCTCTCGCTCTCTTCGACTTACTTGTATTTTGTACACCAATCACAAATTAATTTTACAGCATCGAGTTCCATGAGATCGGGACGAGTACGCAAGAAAGTGTCGTACAACTCTGGATTGTCTGAAAGCACGCGATACGAAGAAAAATTGATGCCGCGGGAAGACGAAAGTGTTACGTACCGGTTGACCGAGTTGTTTTTTCATTGCGCTCGTATTCTGCGTGAAACTACAAGAACATTTGCGATTAGTCGTCGCGAATAGATCTAACGAAAGTGCAATGCGTGATGCAATAAATACCGCCAGCACGGTCTTTGTAGGCAGCAGTTCCAAAAGAGTTTCTCTCACATCGTCCGCAGAGACATGTGGAAATTCGTCGACTCCGCTCGGGCACAAGAAGCATTTAAAACCGACTACACCTGCGTCTATTAACGATCGCAACTCGTGCTAAACATTGCAAGAGATAAGAGCCTGAGCAGAAAGATTGCCGTAACCGTGTACGATTCTGTCGTTGTCGGAAGTCAACGCACAAACAATTGTCATAGACGTATGTCGCGTTTATCGCATCGCAAAAGTGAAGAAGTGTCCTACGTCCTACGACTTATCTTCTTCTTAGAGCAGAAAGATTGTCGTAAGTGTTTGCGATTTCGTAGTAAGGCACAAGTCTATGCCTGAAGTCAACGCACAAAGAATTGTCGTATATCGCTTTGCAATGCGATAAATGCGACATACGTCTATGACAATTCTTTATAGAAAATTATCTATAGAAAATAATGTATACCTCTCTATATGATTAAAGGTGGTATGGGCGACCTTATTTTACTTTATGACATTCTTATCATTCAAAGACTAGTTACTTGCCTTACGCTGTACATCGCATATCGTTAGATCTTTATGGATTGCGTTTATGGATTATAAAACCAAGCATAACCGACTATATAGATTCCACTTAGGCACTTAAAACCGATTGCACCTGCGTTTACTAGAAGCTTATAGCTCACACTAAAAAATTGCAAGCTAAAAGTGAAATTGATCAATAAAACAATGAGAGAAGCACGCGATGTCTGTTTTCTCATTCTCACTATTATTACTCGCCTAGCATCTTTACTGCGTCATGCGATGCCATCATTTTGTATGCATAAGCGTTATACTGAAATAGATATGTTACAAGTGCTACTTAATACACAAAAATGAGGGAACGTCAGCTTTGTCAGAAAGTAGATACGCCGTTGCGGTAGAAATAGCTAGTTCGTGCCGGCGATTCTTGACATCCCGTAATTTTATATTTCTGAAAATTTTGACTTGACAAAGGGTCGATGGCACACGCGGCACAGGTCAGTTCTATCGTAGCATTCAAACGGAAAGTAGGATATCATGCTGAAGCATGTTTTACGAGAGTACAATCTCAATAAGATACTATTATCATATTTGGGTCTCTGGCCGTTTCAAAATAAACTCGTAAGATGTTGGTTACCGATTTCCTACCTTGTGTTTCAAATGACTAACTATCCTTTGGTGGTAATACGTTAACACAATTTCATCTGCGCGAATACGATTGATATTTACAAAAGTGCTAGTATTCTAAATATCGTTTAACAATATTTAAACTATAATTAATATTGCGCTTAGATAATAATGTTGTACGATCATTGGAAAAACTCACGATTGGTTTTCGAATGTTGCTCTCAAATTGTCTTATTAATCACTTTTGACGCAAAGTTACTTAATGACTTTCGGAACAACGAGAAGGTACGTGTACGGAGAAAAACAGTCGCTTATTTATACTTTTTAAATTATTATTGCAATAAGATTATTCTTTTGTTAGACCCGGCAATTATGCGAAGCCATGGAGAACCATTGGAATATATTTACGAGTGAATTTGAAATGCGTGTCCTTAAAGAGTATTCTCTCATTTCACGAAAATTTACAATATTTTACTCGCGTGAGTAATTGCAAGGAATGCATAGATAGATTGGCACCTATGACTAAATGGATGAAAAATTTAGTAACGAAACTTTGTAAAGGATTTTTGTCGATATAATTCTATTGATAAAATGTCTGTATATTACTGTTAAGAAAACAAAGAATGGATTTCAATCATTTTAATTATATATTAATATATAGTTTCAATTTACTAAATTATACACTTTTGCTATACTAAAATTATGTACAAAACATGTCTTTCATAAAATTGCAGTAATAATGTTCTCCATGATAACGATATTCGTGATGGTTCCATTAACACCGATACTACTCGATATCATACGGCCTCTTAATGAGTCACGACCGCGATTTTTCGCGGTCTCTATAGAGTGGAGAATAGATAAGGAGAAGTATTTCGTGCCGATTTTTTGTTACAACTTAAGTATAATAGTGACAGGTACAATTATCATGGTTGGCATCGATTCTATGCATGTCACCTGCACTGTTCACGCTTGCAGTTTATTCTCGAGCGTTGGGTACGCACAAATTTTCTTCCTAATTTTCTTCTTATAAATTTATTGCAAAAGATAAAAAATTGCCGTAAAAATGTCGTTTTGCAGTCAGCAATTCGAGAAGATAATATCAACGCTGGATATCAACGAGACAAGCGAGCAAGTGATATATCACGAATATGTCACATGTTTAAGGAAATATCAACTCGCTTTAGAGTAAAGAATTTCTTTCAATGTTCCCACAATTTGCACGAAATATATTATTTATAATATTGCCATTTCATTAGATTTGTCGACGTACTGAATTCGATGTATCGAACAGTAGCATTGATCATGCTGTTGATGACCGGTGCGATTATAAGTTTAATTGGAGTTCGAGTAAGCATTTACACGTATTGTTTTATAGAGAAGAGAAAAAACTTAAATTACTATCAAAAAAGTCAAAAAGATCTTTTACATATGTATGTAAAATTCTGTGTAATGTATTCCGTTTATTGCAGATCGTATATGTATTAAATCAGTTGGAAGAAGTAATGAGATTTACCCTTGTAATCGCAGGCATGTTGACGCAGCTCCTGATCCTATGTTACTCTGGTCAACAGTTGATAGATGAAAGTCAAAATGTGTTCTATCGAGCGTAAGAACTTTTCAGTTTTAATACTTTGAGCTATAAGTAACTTAATTAGTTAAACACGAATAACTATAAATTCCCGCGGAGTATTTTGCTTGCTACGTATGTATTTGTACACATACTTTAAAATTTGGGAAAATATATAATATTTCTTGCTGAAAAAGATATTTAATAATCTCTTCGTGAATATCTCCTAAATAATTTATTATATTTTAAATTGCTATAGCTGGTTTGGTTTTTTATAAATAATTTTTGTTTCTCATATTATACATAAAATACATACATGTAAATATATAAATATGATTATTTTAAATATCAATTTTATACAATAGATTTTTCCTTGAACATGTAATTTTTAATTTACAATGCTTACTTGCTTCTATTCTACAAGAAAAATTTTTTTTTTAACCAGACATAATTCTTGATAAAAATCTCATGTGAACAAATTCGTAAATTTTATACACATTGTATTTTGTAGATATGCTGCGAAATGGTATAAATTCTCACCAAGATTAAAATCGCTGTTGATTATAACTCTTTACAGAAGCCTTATGCCGTGCCGTTTAACAGCTGGTAATATGTTTTCATTATCAATGACGACTTATGCTGCAGTAAGTGGAAAAATAGTATTTCAATTTTGATTTTTGGTACATAGACAACAATTTATGCTTACATCTATCTTTGATTTAAGGTGGTGCGGACGGGCATATCCTACTTCACGACATTTTTATCACTTAAAGATTAATTAATTGCATACATTTGCTAGTCCTTTCGTCATAATTTTGTCGAGTTCTAATCGAGAATATCTTAGATTCTGCTTAGACACAAGCTACACTTTAAAATCTATTGCATCTACATTTATTCCCTGCCACATTTCACACTAATCCACTTCTAAAAAAGGTTTGCATGTAAGTCGATTAGTCGCATATCTCGAAGTATTATTTCCGCGATGGATGCCTCGCTTGTGCGATACGACATGCTTCAGTCGTGTTATTTGCAGCTGTCAAACCATGCGAATTTTTAGAGAGTGCAAATGGCGCGCACTTACTAAAAAGTCCCTTACTAAAAAAGAGATGTTACCAGCGCGAATGTCGGTAATATTGAACAGTTAAGGCCCTTATCCGCGATTGATTCTCTCGAAGCGCGATGTGCTTCACTTCTCTTTTAGGTTCAGAGTAAATGAAGGTTTACAATTTAGAAATACTAGACATGACAGAACGCGCGCTTCGCGCGCGCTGTTTGTGGTCGAGCATTGTGTATTTTTAAGAATTTGTACACACGCGAAGAGAGAGAGAGAGAGAGAAGTAATTATATGCGCAACGTCACTTTATTATAGACTAATTATGCAAAATCGAAACTATTGTATTAAACATACTTTATATTTTATATTTAAAAAAATGAGTATTTATTAAAACAATTGGTAATTGTTCAGAATAGCTACATCACCTCCAAAATCAATCAAATTAGTCTCATTCGACGCGTTTTTTAACGAGAAACAACTTTTTCCTTAGACAAAATCGTCGCTCTGCCCTGCGAAGCGAGATATTAATTGTTAAAGTGGTAAATATGTAAGTCTAAATCTTGTATCTTTTTAACGAATCAATTGCAAGTGTCTTTAGCACGGCGCGCTGCGCGCGCCCCACCCCCTCCCCCTCGCCAACCTCCCCCTCCCCTCCCCCTCCCCAGCCCTCCGTTTTGTGTATAATTTTTATGTGTGTATAAGAGAGGAAGCAGGTGGGAC